ACTTTTTTCTTAAAAAAGCTCTTCTTTAGTGAAACAATCACTACTTTAGCTTTAAATATTTTATTAAAGTATTTTTACGGTCAAAGTGTCACTCCTAGTCCCGATTCCGGTCTCAGCAACTTCTTTTTCTCGTAGTCCCGGTACTAAAATTAATCTCTCACTTATTACAATAGTCAAAATCTTTTTATGGAAGATACTAATTAATAATGTGTAATAGCTCGCGAATCAGGAACACGTGTTATCAATGTAATTAGTATAATTATATTTTATATTTTAATAGCAGACGAAATCTACTAATAATTTTTCTCTAGTATGATCAATTATTTATAATCTAAAGATCAAAACAAATTATGAATTAAATCAAAACGAGAAAGTATTGTTTGAAGTTTTTTGGGGCAAAGATGCAATAGATTGTAGATCGATTCGTTTTGGCTTTCTCTACTATCTTTTTCAAAGTAGAAAATATATTCCTATTGTTGTGAATAACACTTACTTGAAAATCTACATATGCTATCATTTATTAAAACATATATTGATCCTCTTTGTATTGATTTATGAGTTTGAAAGTCTCACTATTCTCTATATAGTAAGCGACCGAGAAATTTCTATGAATAGATTGCTAAGCTAAGAATTCTATAATTACTTTTCAAATTACATATTATTAATTTTGATGAAAGAAATAATCCTTTTGGTTTTCTTTTTTTAGGTTTAACAGCACATTCTCAAATTTTAGCCAATTTATTTGTCATTGTTGAACAAGGTCTCATTAAAGTACCATTAGCACCTGAAGTTCAAGATCCATCACAAAATTTACTTTATGTTCAACAATTTATGGCTAATTTATTAAAAACAGCTTTTCCACATTTACAAGATAATCAAATAAAAGTTATTATTGAAGGTTTTGTTACATTAGATCAAGATATAGCTGGTTTTAAAGAACATTTACGTGATTTTCTTGTTCAAATACGAGAAGCTACTGGTAATGATACGGCTGATTTATATTTAGAAGACCGTGAACAAACATTAAAACGTGCAGCTGAAGAAAAACGTAAAATACAAATGAGTGTTCCCGGTATGTAGAAATTTTCAAAGAACAAAATAAATAACCAACCAAAAATTCTATTTTAGGTATTCTCAATCCTCATGAAATTCCAGAAGACATGCAAGATTAAACGAACTATATATTACTAATACGCATGCTTGTCTTTTGTTTGTACGTTCTTTTTGAATGAAAAACAAGAAAAAATATAGTAAACTCAAAAAACAAAAAAAAAAAATCATTTGTCTATATACTTTTTTTTTTCTATTCATCTTGTCGATCTCATCGGAAAAGAAAGAATTTCTTTTTTTTTTGACTTAATTGAAATCTTTTCGGTTGTCAATAACATTTTATTTCTATTAAATATTTGATGAGATAAAAGAGACTTGACAGAATTGTGTTGATTGTATATGCTTGATATGTATTCATATTAGCGATTGAAACAAAATGGAAATATATGATGAGAAAAGTTTTGATACTGATTTAGATGATGATGAAACAGGTATTAGTATAGTTTTATTTGTTTTATAAAAGGAAATATAATTATTCTAAAGATCAAACTGATGATTATATACTTCCACGTTTATCATTTGATGAAAAACTAACAGCACATCGAAATAATCGTTTGAATGAAACATTTGGTCAAAAAAATTTTCCATTTCAATTTCAATCTAATAAACAAATTCGAATAAATAATAATACTCTCGTACCTTTACGATGTAAAATTCCATATAACAATAGTAACTATGATGAAATCTTCAAATAAATTAATATGAATTTTCCTTTTTTTTTGTAATAGGAAGAATTCATATATATGAAAATAGTTGCCATATGCTTGATATAGCAATTGATTGGCAATTACGTAGCCTTCTTTTTCATGATCATATAACTGTTCTCGATCGATCATTTAGTTTAAATGAAATACGTGCATTTGCAACTGCCATTGAAGCAAATCTTGAAAGTTTAACATTAAGTTCTGTTGGCTTAACAACACGTTCAATACATATACTTTGTCAAGGATTAAAAAAATGTATTCATCTTAATTTATTAGTAAATAAAAAAAAATAAGACAAGATTGTAACAAGAAAAAAATGTGATATTTTTATTTTTTTTTAGGATTTATCATGTAATAAATTAAGTAAAGAAAGTTTTCAACTATTAGTTAATATAATTAATCGATTTTCATCATTACATTATTTATCATTGGCTAATTGTGGTATTCAAGATTCATATGGTCGATCTATTGGTGATTTATGTCGACATAGAAGATTGATTGAAATAGATTTAAGTGGAAATGAATTTGAAGATATGGCATGTATATTGATTGGTAGTGCATTAAGTATATACAGAATTAGTTGTGTTTTCTTTTTAGAATAATAAATTTTGTTGTACTTTAGCGGAAAATATTTGTTTGATAGATTTAAATTTAAGTTGGAATTTCATTCGAAGTTATGCATCAATAGCTTTATTTCGAGGATGTGAAGTAATCAATTTAATTTTTTCTTTGTTAATAAAATTTTAATTTCGTTTTTTTAAAGGTTAATAAAACTTTAAAAGAATTTGATATATCATGGAGTAATCTTGGTTATGATGGAAGTGTTGCACTTCGTCGTGTATTAATTATTAATCAATTTTTACAACGTTTAAATATAAGTAATTGTAATATTGATCGAACAAGTGCAAAATTAATTAGTGAAGGTTTAGAAAAAAATTCAATACTTCAAAAAATCGATGTTAGATGAAAATTTTTTATTCAAAAATCAAATCATTTTTTCACTTATATTTTAGTTATCATTTAATCCATTAACAACTTATGGTGTTCATGATATTGTTCAAGCTTTGAATCATAAGAAAAGTGCTGTTTCAATACTTGATATTTCAGTAGGATTAATAATTTATTTAATTTTTATTTTAATTAATTTTATATGTGTTTCTATGGTATGACGGTATTTTCTGGAACTGTTCGTCTTGCAGAAAAAATTGCTGATCGAAGACATTTTATTATGAAATATGATTTTGAAATATCTGTACATGATATTATTGGTCGACCAAAAGGTATAAACAAGATACATATATATTGAATAGGACTAGTCTTTCTCAGACAAGATACATTAAGTGAAAGATCTGTCGCAGTATTCGATCGCCAGAGAAACCATCTGTCTCATTTACTTCTATATTTCAAACAGAAATTGTTTCTATGTTTTCTTTACTTTGTCGTTATTACTTCGTTTCTGTTCATTTTTCTTAATTAAACACTACTATTATTCTAACTATTGACTTAACGAACAAATAAGCCTGTTGTATAATTAACAAGAATATTTTAACTCATTTTTGTTTTATCTACTTTTATGATATTTAGTAACAAAAACAGATTCAATGCGTAAAATTATTGATCATATTGATGCAAGACAGTGGCGTACATTAGATTATTTTCGGATATTGAACAATCAAAAGAAATCACAAGTACAAAATGAAACAATTCGTCATAAGATTTTAGTAAGAATCTTTTCTTTATAGCAATATTTTATTTTCATTTTCATTTAAAATATTATTAGAAATCTGAGGTAGAATCTGGAACTGTTACAATAGAAACACTTCAACGATATCTTACCGATCGAATAGTTCAACCTTTTACATATAAGTACGAAGATTTTTTTTTCTATCGAGAGATTAACAATTTTTTTTTCTAGAAATTTACATAATGTAATTAAACAACAACGAGTACGTGATCGATTACAAAAAGGTCGCCAGGAACAACAAGAAAAAGATCTGAAAAATCGAAATAAAAAAATTTTACAAACTGTTAATGAATATTTTCCAGATATTAATATTATTAGTAAACAAGAAAAACATAGAGCAACTATTGAACATTTAGCAAAACCTCGAATATTTAATACAAATGAAAAAATCTAATTTATTCAATTTAGATGAACTGTATTTTGAAATTTTAATAATTGATAAACAACGTTTCTTGTAATGAATTGTAATAATTCATAATTCATTTATTAAATATTGTGTATTGCTTCGATGACAACGAAATTTTCTTCCAGATTTAACCTGATGAATGTCTGGATTAAATGATCCTATTCTCGTTTTCAAAAGCCAAGGAACTTGGTTGTTTTTTGAATAATTTTTGATAGAAATAACATAGAGACTTGGGACTGTCACCACTCAAAAGAAAACATTCTAGGCTATCTGTGCATGCCGAATTGACTTGAAATATGACCATTCGGTAGAAAAAAATTCTTCCTTTTCGATGTACGAAAGCTTCAACTATCTTGGACGATCCGTTCTAGAGTTACAAGAGTTTCTCCGAAAACCCCCTGTAACGGCACTGTGTGTCGTTACCTGTATATTATCATCTGCTCATTTTCTATTTGTTTTTTTTTCGTGCTCTATTCTTCTTTTTTCTCTCTCTCTTGTTCTATTGTTTTTCGTGCGTTTGACTAGGTTTTTCTTTGTTGTCATTCTTCTTCTCATGATATAAAAAGGAGAGATTTTTTCATTGATCGATATTGTTTTGCTGGTATTGAGTTTGCCTACATCTTGGCATCTCACCCCCATTGATTTCAGCAAGTTGATTTTAGAAGACTCGAAAAGTGCTCAAGATAGGGATAATTCATCATATTGAGTCACTCGTGATTCGTTCTATCTACCGATAAGTCGATTTACGCCTTTGTCTTTTCCTTCGTATATACATATATCTTTATCACGCGCTCAGTGTGTGATCGAGAAAATTAATTAATTACATTGATTTTCTCTTTATGCTGAATTATAAACCATTGATAATGACTTCTCATCCAGTTTCTAATCTCAACAATGATGATGAACATCGCTTACAAGCATCAAATGATCATGTTATAGTTTCCGAACTAGATAAAATGTTATCGTCTAATTCAAATAATGTTTTGGATTCTCATTTGGATCACAACCTTAACGAACACGTTAATTCGAATAAAAAATGATGGAAATAATGCTATTACATCACGATCGTCGTCCGTTCTCAGCCGACGAATCAGATGATGGTTTTCGTATTGTGAAGAACAAGAAAAAACAAAAACAAATTGTGCGTGATGACCCTGAAGCATTAAATAATGGTGAAGAATCTCGTGTTAATCCAATTGTACCTAATCTTGATGATATGGAACTTGATCAAAATCAAATACATGCTGTTAATGATAATCAACATCATTTATCTTCTTATAATTTCGTTATTACTAACGAATCAACACGTTTTGCTCAAACACGGTATCCGTTTTCACCATTTTTTTAACGTTTTGGTTCAGGAAAAGTAACAAGTGATCAAGTTAAACAAAATTTAATTGATCATTCTAAAAAAATTCATCAATTTGATGTTCATGTGATTAACTGTCGTTCATCTTCTAATGTTCTCTCAGCTAATGAATATGATATTCTTATATATGTAAAAGATGCTGTTTCTTTTTCTTTTTTATTAGAACAAGCTCATTGACGAAAGGTTCTAGGTAATAATTATTATTATTTTCCTTCAGCTCCAGCTATTCCACCACAACTCTGTTTATTAATTAAAAATGTTGATTTACGTATTGATTTTGATGAATTCTGTAATGATATTAAAACTAACCATCCTCACGTTAAAAATATAATTCGAATGAAAAACAAGTTTCAGAATGACATCACGATGGTTAAACTTGAATTAACTTCTTCCTCTTCCATAGATGAATTATTAAATAAAAAAAGAGTTATTGTTAATTATATTTCTTATGATATTATTGAATATTTAGCCCCTGCTAATGTGCTTATATGTTCTAAGTGCATGGCGTTAGGGCATTTTAAAAAACAATGCACTCAGGTTAAAGAAACATGTTGTACATGCGGTGAACAAGTTGATGATATGAAAAATCATATTTGTTCTAAAATTGAAAAATGTGTCCACTGTGATCAAAATCATAAATCTAGTTCTCTCAAGTGTCCGGTGGTCAAATCTTTTCGTACTGAATTAACTCGTAAAATTCTTCCACTAAATAATCATTCAACACCGGATACGAACTTAATGAATAAAAATATTATTTTTAATTTAACTAATTTTCCACCCCCTCCACCACCTAAATCTTCAACATTATCAATTAATCCTATGATGGTTAAGCTGGATGAGTTAATTAATAAATTATCAGAAGTAAAGAATCATCTTGCTAATCTAGAAGCTAAACATGATAAATTTGAACAATTCATATTGGAAAAAAATTGTAATGATGAAATTGTCACTAAAAAAATTAATGATATATTTAATAACCATATGGATTTAAAGAAAAATGTTGTACAACAAAGTTTATATATTGATAGACATGAAAATTTATTTTGTAAATTGTTAATTCCTATGTTTGAAGATTTATTTTCATTTATTGTGGCACAAAATTGTGACAAGAGGGGTAATCCACTTGATGTGGATCTTAAATGTAAACTTAATCGTTATTTGGTTCAAATGAAAAAAGCAATTGAAGGTAAATAATTTACAAGCTAAGGACTCTGTCGCCTGTTGCTCAACCTTTTTTTTCTTCTTCTAAACTATGTAGGCGTAGTGATTTTTTAGTTAAAGCTAAAGCTTCATTATCTTCATTTGACTTTAATCTTTTCTTAGAGATTCTGAGTGAGTGGGAAAGTAGTCTATTTCTTGATTCTTGTTTTTCTTTGTGGCAGAAGTATGCTCCTTTAGATGACATTTCTTTTCATTCTTCGCTTCATGTTCTTTCATTCAATGTTGGGGGGCTTGAGTTAAGATGACAAGAAGTCCTTCTTCTTACATCTTCTTTCAATTTCGATATTCTTATTCTTCTCGAAACTGGCAATATTGAACTTTCTTTCTTTGAGAAAATCTTCAATAACTTTAGAATTTTTTACCAAAAGGGAGAGAATAAAAATGGTGGAGTTTTAGTCCTGATGAAATTAGATATTCAAGTAACGCGTATAGAATGTGAATTATCTAATGTTTGTGTTTTAGATATTAAAGGTGAAGAAATCTTACGTATTGTTGGAGTATATGCATCTGAAAGTAAATCTAGGACATGGGAGGATTTGTCTCCTTTTTTATCTAAGAAATGTGTTGTGTTTGGAGATTTTACTGTTGATATAGGTCAAGATGCTAAAAAAGCAGAGATCTTCCTTACGTGAGCAGATACTAATTTTCTTGCTCCATTTACAACTGAATTGTTTACTTCTTTGCGTTCGAATAGAATAATTGATTATGCTTTAGCTGCTAGTTTAAGTATCGATATTCATAATTATAGTGGTAATACAGCCAGTGACCATACACCCCTCATATCTGTTATTCCAACAAAGTTAAAAAATTAAAAAGTAGGAAGAAATGTTCATTGGAAAGTTTTCTCTCTCTTTACAGAATATACTATTTCTTTCTGGGAAGAAATGTGGGACCTTGATAATATTGATGTTGTTTACAATGATTATAGCAGACTTCTGTTTCTTTTATCTGTCCGATGTACAATTGTTTTTCCCGTAGAAAAATATCGTCCATCCATTCCTGTAGAACTTAGATCGTTTTTATCTTATATACGTGCTCTTTCTTTTCGCCAAATGAGAACAAAAAACATCGAACTAAAGAATATGTTATATTCCTTGAGGAGAGCAGCCAAAAGTGAACTTAAGAGGTTTTTTCTTCTCAACTTTCTTCAACACTTAATCTTCGTAACACTTCTTCACCTGCAACTGTCTTGTTTTGGTCCAAATGTAAAAAATATCTTAAACCTTCGTCCTATACTGTACATGCTTTTATTGCACCATCAGGACATATTATTAAAGATACTAAAGAAATGTGCGAAGTCGCTGCTGATTTTTATGAAATTTTTTTTAAAAAATCTAATATAGTGAAACCTCATCCATACACTGATTTTCCACCTACTGAATATGACAATGTCGATGAACCTATTCCTGAAGTAACATTAGATGAATTAGTATTCACAGTGCAATCAAAACGTAAAAAGAAATCTCTTGATGCTCATGGCATATCAAACTTCATGTTTAATTTTCTGGATTAATGTCATTGGTCTTTATTTCTTAAACTATTTAATCACTCTTTCCAAACGGCTATTCTACCTAAGGCATGGAAAGATACTAGAATGGTTTTATTAGCCAAAACAGAGTCTATCTGTTCTCCTTCATTAACTCGTCCTATTTCTCTTATCGACTCTTTTCTTAAAGTTAGTGAAAGGTTATTTCTTTCTAGATTTCGTAATGTTTTAGCTAGAAGAGGTTTATTACCCGATAATCAGCCGGGTTTCAGAGATGGTTTTCGTCTCCAAACTCGTTTATTGTTATTTCTGGAGGATATATATAGTCTTATGGCAAATAGTACCCCTGTATGTACCATCTTTATTGATTTTCGTTCTCCCTTCGATCAATTATGGCATGAGGGCTGCGTAGGCAAACTAATGAGATTAGGTATTCCTCCGTCTTATTTAAGATGGATAGAAGTTTGGCTTCTTGATAGAAGGTGCTTTATTGAGATAGATAGTGATAAATCCAGGTGGTTTTCAATTGGAAAAGGGGTCCTCAGGGTAGTGTGTTAACTCCCACTTTATTCGTTAATTATCATTGTGATATGGTACAATTTCTTTCTCAATGTACTAGTCATTTTTTTTGCTGACGACGTCGCAGCTATACTTGCAGGACAATTAGAAGTAAGATACACTAATCAATGTATTGATCTTGAAAAACGTATTAAATCTTTTCTTGATTCACTCGAATATTATTCTTGTTTAGCTGATCAACTCTTAAATAGAACTAAAACTGAAGCTATGTTTAGTGCTCGTGCAATAGGATCCCCAGACTTCAACATTACATTTGATAGTGGGAATGATAAATGTATTCATTGGAAACAGGAGTACAAATATCTTGGCTATATCATATCATCTAGACTTGGATGGGGGAAGTTACTAAAATATACAGAATGTAAAGTCAGGAAGAGAATAGCACTTATTAAATCGTTTAAATTGTTTGGTTGTTCATCTCCTAGTCTTCGTAAAGCACTGTTCTATTCACATGTCCTTCGATTATTCACCTGGTTATATCCTGTATATCCGCTATTTACGCGAAAACAACAGGATGACCTCTCTAGGTTTTATTACTCCTCCCTCCGTCGTACTCTATGTTGCCTCGAATGGAATGAAAATTTTTTTTCATATATTCTTGAAGAAATATCCTTGGAAGATCATTGCTCTATATATATTGGAATAGGTATCTCAGAGCGTTATCTAATTCGATTGATGGTAATTTAATTTTTGAAAAAGCTAACCTTGCTGAATTTAGGAAGAGTTGGTTGGGTAAGGAGTTCTCCATCATGGGGTTGAGAAGATCTAAAAGATTCGTCCCTTACAAATCAATTTTAGAAAAAGTTTTAACTTGGCTTTCGTCGGTTCCTTCTAACTCTTCTATACCACATTATGAAAGGTCTGAAATTGAGCTACTTCAACTCTTTCCTGATTCTTTTTGTTAAAGCTGTGATCTATGTCTTTTTTTGTCCGTGTTAACTGTTGTTTAAATGTTGTTCATGTGCAGTCTGTTCTGTACGTGTGTCCGATTCTTTTTTCTTTTGTTTATTTTCTACTTTGTACTCTGTATTCATCTTGGATGTGTTTTTCTCATCATCATTTTTTGTTTCCTCTGCATTGTTACATGTAGAATCTTTGTTTCTTTTTGTATCTTCTATGTACCTTTTATTTCACTTTTTTATTTTTATTTTTTTTCTCTCTTTTCTCATTTCTGGTGCTGTTAGAGTCTTAGGATCGCAGTTATTGCATAATGAAAAAAAAAATTCATCATATTGAGTTGAATGGTAATATTTATTTTCAGTTTCAAAGCGACCGAAGAACATTTTTTCAAGATTTTTAAAATTTTGGTTATTATGCTGTGAAGGGAAAGTTTTTGAAGTTGCTTTGAAACTGAAAAGAAACATCCCCGTTCGACTCAGCACGATAAATTGTTCCTGTTTTTAGTTCTTTTGAAGTCTTCCAAGGTTAGTTTACTGAAATCGAGAGTCACGAGAAAACTCTTGTAACTCTGGCTAGAAAGTTGGGGCTTATGTAGATCGAAAAGGAAGAACTTATTTCTATCGATTGGTCATACTCCAAGTCAAAATCTAGCAGGAAATGACTTCAGAATATCTTTTTCAAAACAGAACTCACCCAATTGGTGGTGAGTTGTTGACTAAATGGACTTCGGTATATGTAGATAGCCCAAGGTGGTGTGGGTGCTATTTAAATGCCTTCTTGTCTAACATCCACACCCACAGTAACTTTCGTCGATATTTATTTCACCGCACATCAAACAAGATATATAGTTCTTGCGGTAAAAACAAATGATTAAAAACAAAAGGTCCCTATGCTCTCATCGTGTTCTCTTTTGTTAGTCGTATTTCTTGGAAATAGAGCAATGATGCAAAATATCTTTTCTTCTCAATTGGTAGCTTAGGGAATTCTCTACACACAATGTTTCTAAAGATGACAATTCCAGTTGCCAGTGGGAAGTAAAGGATTAAAATTATGATTTTCAATAAGAAATCATTTAAAGATTTTATGTTGTGTTAACTCATAGTCAATATCATCAAAAACGAAACAAACATAACATATTGCAAACAGTGAAATTTTTCTTTTCACACGTCTGTTGCATCGATATTATTTTATTCTATATCTTTCTTTTTATGATGTCATGTTTATTTTATTGTTGGTAATGCTGACAATGTGTTGATAAAAGGGTAAATTTTTATTTTATCTTTAATTTTAATCATTTCTACATATTAATCAATAATCTATAAATAATTGTTATTTGTCTAGATGATCGTGCAAACCATATCACAGATATTGCCTTTATGTCTTCTTTTGTTTTATATATATGTGTTTAAATATGCATATCAAACAAAAACGAATAATTATCTGTGTATATAACCCAGAAGTCCAAAGACATTTTAACTGTAGTTGCCTTTTTTTTAAAGAGTGCAGGTAACAAGTGAGTATGGTAAGGTAAAGATAACAGATATCAGAACAAAATATTATTATTTATTCTAAGTTGAATTCAAACATTTATGGTCATTAATGAAATAAAAATTTTATTTTATTTTTTTTCTAGTATATTTTAAGATCATCATCATGGCTTTTACACCGTATCAATTGTTTCTTGCGGGTCTTATGTTAATAACTGGAACAATAAATACTTTATCAACAAAATGGGCTGATAGGTATTTATTAATTTATTTCATTCATAATGTCATATTTATGTTATTTAGACAAGACGCACATTTTTGTAATCGAACAGCTGAACCAAAAAAATTTGAGCATCCATTCCTTCAAGTTAGTAAAATTTTTTTTGTCAAAAATTAATAGGTTTCTTTTTTATTTAGGCTCTGGGCATGTTTATAGGTGAATTTCTATGTTTATTGGTATTTAAATTTATTTGGTACTCAACAGCTCATTATCGTATTGCTCAAATGACATATAAAGGCGATTCATCATCTACGGTTGTTCAATATTGGCCAATACAAATTAAGAAAGATATACATTTACTTGAAGGTGAACAAGTATTTAATCCATTTATATTTTGGGTAGCATCTATATTTGATATGCTTTCAACATGTTTATCTTATTTTGCATTAAATTTAACGACTGCTAGTTCATTTCAAATGTTAAGAGGTTCAGTAATGGTTTTTACAGCTATATTCAGGTAGAAATATATATATATATAAATTGAAATGAAAGATTTTTTAAAAAATTTTTTTAGTATACTATTTCTTAAAAGACGATTAACTCTTATTCATTGGATTGGTATTATAACTGTTGTAGCTGGTTTAGTTGTTGTTGGTGTATCAGATCTTTTGTTTAATAAAGAATCAGAAGGTAATCATACAGGTGCTCAAAAATTTCTAGGAATTATTCTCATACTTCTGGCAATGGTATTTACCAGTTTACAAGTATGACAGAAAAACAAAATAGAAAAATTACATCTATTATATATTATTGTATTTAGGTCGTATATGAAGAACGTTTTATTGGTAAATATAATATTCCACCATTACAAGCTGTTGGTTGGGAAGGAATATTTGGTTTTTGTACACTTGGTGTTCTTATTATTCCGGTAATAAATTTGACAAAAAAAATTTTTTTTCTAGAATATAATTTGTTTTTTTTTTTTAATTAGTTTCATTTTATTCATATGAGTTCATCAAATACTGGTCCTGATTATCGTCTTGAAGATATACCATCAGCATTTTGTCAAATGGGTGATAATTATAGAATTATTATTGCCACAGTTGGTAAGAATAAACTTTCATGTATTTTATTTTATTACTTGTTCTTTCTTTAGGAAATATTCTTTCAATTGCATTTTTTAATTTTGCTGGTATATCTGTAACAAAAGAGTTATCATCAACAACTCGTATGGTACTTGATAGTGGTCGAACATTACTTATATGGGCTATTTCATTAGCATTGTCATGGCAAAAATTTTATCCATTACAAATTGGAGGTTTTATTCTTTTAGTTATTGGTAAATTGAAAAATTTTTGTTTTTTTTTTATGTTTATCTATTAAAATATGTAATGATTGAAATAGGTATGGGTATTTATAATGGTGTATGGTTACATTTATATCGTCAATTTGAAGCTTGTAGAAGAGGATCAGGAGGCGAGCGTGCACCCTTATTACCTAGTTATGATGAGGCCAATGGATTTACACCAGGCACATCAGATGTTCCATCGGGTGCAGGAGTTTATGTTGCACCAGGCAAAGATGCAATTAATGGATAAACTATTTACTTTCCTTTTTGTTTTTTAAATGTGTACAGCAATTGTAATAATAATTATTGAAATTTGTTTTTAATTAGAAAGGAAAAAAACAATTGTTGAGTGCATATTTTAGAAAGTAAAATTTATTTTTTTATGTTTGTTGTTATCAAAAGAACAACAGTGGAAGAAATAGAAAATAAAATACGAGAAAAAATATTGTTTATAAACGAATATATATTGCAAACACGTTTTATCTTGCCTACACATAGAGAAAATATATATAGCTTTCTAATTATATATCATTTGATTGAATCTTATCTTTTGTATGAATATGAATCAATTATTTAATTTCTTGAGGAGAGGCGATGTATATATATATATGTTCGGTTTCGAATCATATAGACCCTCAATCTGTTACACGATTATCCATATTGTTATAGATATGTCATTTTTTTCTAAAATAAAACTTGTTGAGAGCAAGTTTACTTGCTCTTATTAAAACAAATTACATAGTGTTGTTTCAAGAACTGTCAGTTTTATTTTCTTTTGTTCGTCCGAACTGTTTTATTTCTTTAATTGAAGTATATTTCATTTTTTTTTAAAACACAATTAAAATTGTGTTACTTGAGCTAAACTAATATCATATATATTTTGGTAAAGATCAAATTGATGTTTGGATCGTCGTTCGAAGAGAAATCTTAGATTTGTCTGAAAAGGCTGATCGTATTTAGCGATCAATCGATGAGTAAGTGACTTTTTATAGCACTACATTTAGAAATATTATACATTCATCTTTGGGAAACCTAACAGATATAAACGATCATAACATGATATTTCTTTCTTGAGACTTGTAAAAATATGAGTGCAAAAAGGAAAATAGATGTTTTTTTGAAGCCATTCTCATTCATAGATTAATAATGATCCAAGAAACTGTTCAGTTTTTGCCTGTCTAAAAGATTTTTTTGAACTGACCAGGTCGGACCAGTTCAAAAATTCTCGACCGGTTACAACTCTAGTGTCAATATAGGTGTGATCGAAGAGAAGACTTACACCTACACTCTTAAAATGATCATACTCTGAAATACTTTTAGAAATATTTTGACATCAATATGAATAAATATATCTCATCAGAATTTCGAAAATTTCCTGTGTTCTCTTAAATGTAACTGCGTCCTGAAACAGTTAATATTATTCTTATTTCTGTTATACATTTTGTCATATGGATCAAGATCAAACATTCAAATGCGAATAATCAATTATTTTTGTTAGTAATACCATGTAATGCCAATTATATTAATTTTTGTTCAAGCACTGGAAGTAAATAATAGATTTGACTTTTGAACAAAAACCTAAAATAATAACCAATAGAATTTTTCCTTATTAGTACCAGTCGGTAAATACGTGTACTAACTCATGTCTTACTTTTCTCATTATATAACAATCAAAAACCTACTATTTGAATAAACATATCATTAAATTGTTGATCAAAACATATTTTTCCAAACTATGACACTTTTCACTATTTATTTCTGTGCTTTTTTTATTATTTACCCTACTAATGTGAAAACCTAAAATTGTTGAAATCTGTTTTTATGGTAGTTCCTGATGTTTGAAATCATTAGCGCAGAAAATAGAAACATAAACCGTCGATTACAGAAACGAAGATGACACTATCAGGCAATTGTTAAGACATAATGAGAGTATGGGTGCGTTCTTTGCATTCTCTCCTACTCACATTCACATTCCCAAAAAAAATAGATAGGAAACATGCATGATTCAAGTTAGTTTGTTCATTAAGGTTCTTCCTGTTATTCAACTTTACTGTTTGTAAAAAAAAACATTTTTTTCTTTTTATGAATATAAATTCTTTAGATAAAATAAATATAATGAATCTTTTATCTTCAACTAAATAATAATTTGTATTGTTTTGACGTTTGAATAAATCGGCATGTTTCTTTTCAACCAAAGTAGGATTTATCATTGTTTTTTTTTTGTCTATCTAATTATCTATTAGTAGATGAAAACATTCGTACATTTGCAAATCCAATACGTGAATTCTGTATAATAACTAAACTTGCCTTTAATATGATCATTAATAACGGATATTTATGCGCTATACGACAATTACTCTGTTTTTGTTATTTTTTTACTGATGTACAACAGATAAATTATGATTTTAAACAATTTTTTGTTGTTATTTTCATAGAATAATTTCATATAGAAGTGAATCTATAGAATATATTAAGCATAATATGTCAAATTTAATTAAATAGAATAATCTGATGCATTTTTTTTTCTCAAGGGAATAAACTTCAACATCACTTAAAAATATTTAATTTACAGAAATATTTTTGGATTCATTTTTTTTTTTGAGACAAAAATTCAGAGAAAAGATGCAGGCCGACAAGTAAAGAATCTTATTGATGATGTACAACTGCACTTGTTAAAAAACATAAAGTCTCGAATACTAAATAGTATGTGTTATTCATTAGACAAAATTTATTTAGAACAGATCGTATTAAAAACAAAACACATGAAGACACAGATATTTATGGACACAAAAATTAACGAGAGAATCACACTAATTTATTCCAAGCTTCTGACTTTATCTTTTGACTCGAAGTAGATCTCAATGAGACTAATAAAACTCTAAAAGTGTTCGTACTTATAGCTCTTCATTTCCGAGATATAGTCTCAGTTAGTGATTATATAATCAGCTCGAATAATGATTTATTTGTTGTGGTAATTTTAGATTCATGATTCTTCTAACACTTAGAATATCAAGTTATAATTGCATAAGATTCAGTGATCTGTGATATTTCATGAAAAGAGAGACAAATAGAATATAGAAGAAGGATCGCTGATATTTTTTGATCATGTGTGTATCTGTCATGCCCTTGTCAGAGAGTACTACTTAACATCTATTATAATATATTATATGTGCGTCAAGTGTTTCTCTGATCAGGAAATGACTAATATGTAGTCAAAACGTATGGATGATCGTTCTTCTAGTTTTTATTTGTCACTCTTTCGTTATGATATCACTAGTCACTAAGTCCGATACAATTATTATTTGATATTGTTAGTGTTAGTAGAACTATGAATTTAAAATTACCACAACAAATAAGCTAGCTACATAAATATTAATTTAGACCTATTGAAATAACAAAAAAAAAATGTACGTTTCAAAAATGAAAAAAAAATTTCTTTTTATTTACGACATTACTTAGATCATATCTCGACAATGAAGACCCATAAAAACTAACATTTCCAAGCTTATCTTAGTCTCCCTGAGATCTACTTATACCCAAAAGATGAAGTCAAAAATTCAAAACTAGTTGAGATGGTTTCCTCGTAAAATTTATTTTTGTATTAGTTACTATACTTGAAGCATTGAAAGTATATTGATCTTTCTCTAATCGCTACTATGAAATTTTAACATGGATTGCCAAAAGACAATTTTTTCTTTTTTTTTCATGTTGTCGATAAAATTTCAAACATTTCGATGCCATTTTATGATTCCGTTTGTTGAATCTGTTACTTCATTCTTATAAAACAACAACTTAATGAATGACATGAATAGGATCATATTTTCTTAAGTTTGTCTTTCGAGGCTACTTTCATACAATTCCAACTATATATCATTTCATTAATATGATTAATTTTAGTTGTAATTAAATATGTTAAAACTTCATGTAAGTTTTTCAATAAGTTGTTTATTGAAAAATATATTTATGAATTGATTAATTAGTATGAATATACAACTAAATTTTCTGATGATTATTATAAACAAATAATCCAAGCAATTAGTATTTATTCAAAACTATCAAGAGAATTCATTTATTCTTATATTATAAGTAAAATTGAGTTTTAATTTTAGATATTGGTAATAAAAATAAATTCTATTGATGGCTTCAAACGTTATTTTTCATATAGGTTTGAATTTTTTACTAACATTAAGTAAATTAAATTGTTTTGTTTTTCTTTAGTTTCTTTTGTAATTAGACGATTCAATAGTTGATTTTATTTTAGCATCACTACTAATATCTAATATACATTGATTATGTTAATCTTTGTTATTCTAAATAAAATTTATGATTTGAAGATTGCTTGTCAAAAACTTTTTTCTCTGTTGTCGCTCGGAATTTAATGTAAAAGATGTGAAGGACAAAAAGAAAAAGGTCATCGGCTGCTGTCATTTATACAACAGGAAAAAGATTGACATTTTCAGACAGAATAATTTTTATAGCTTGAATAATTATCCTTCAATCTAAATTTTTGATGTCATTATCAAAAGAATGAACTGAAAACAATCTTATCAAACAAATCAGATTATTTTTCGTTATATTCTTTCTGTAGCTTAGCATTTACGACGATTAATCTTCAATTCTAATTTTTCCTTTTTTTTTCTCTCGTATAAATATTCTTATAAATAAATTCTCAAAAATAGTAATTGCCTTATTGCAATTAATTATGATTTGACTAGTTATCGATTTCTTGACCAAATGAAGACTAATTTCACAATACACTGTCGCATCCCAATGCGTTAATTATTAGATTAATTTTTTTCTTCTAATAATCATTATAGACAACCGGAAATGAAAATGCACAAGTGAAAAAAAAAGTGCTTTGTAATCAATTGAGTTTATAATATGAGCATAGAAACAATATAACTTCAGAGTATAAAATAGAAAAAGATGTTAATGAGTGAAACTCTACCGATACTTTCTCATCTGCCTATCTTTAAATCATCTAATGACTAAAAATAGAAAAGAAAAAGAACGTAAGAGCATAAAGAAAATAGAAAAAGAAATGTCGTGTCATTCCCTCTAATTGAGCCATCGGAGTATGTTGTATTCTGCTTATTTGATTCAAGAATCTCTTCCTGGATGAATAGCTACTCATACATGTTTTTTTCATAATAAAGCACAAATGCTGTTCTCTTGTTTACGCTGACAATGATTTTTATCTTGTTCAATAATGAAATATTGTCAAACAAATAACAATGAAATTTGTTCCAGTAATTTATTTATGCAAACTTATATTTTTTGTGAAGTAATGAATTTATATTTTATTATTTTTAAACTGATAACTATTAGTTTTAGATTAATTCTATGTGAGATGAATGTTACCATGAACATAATTATTCCAACCATAATCATTCGTCCTTATCCAAATTTACCATTAACAGAGCAAGTTATGTATGATTTAAAAAATAATATGAGAAAAGCAAATGAAATGAATGATTTTGTTGATGATGATGATGATGATTATAATGAAGATGATGATATTGAAATTAGTGAACCATTAACAACATCTACGAAATCAACAACAACAACAACAACATTGGAAATAAAGTACGATACTGTTAAGTCTTCATCATCTTATTTTACATTTAAGTTTATTAATTTATTATTATTATTAGTATTGTTAATTGAAACAAATATATGACAATAAAATTCATGTGTTATCTGACTACAAAACAAAAATCAGATGTACATTAATTAATTATAATAAACAGCTACTCTTTGATTTTGAACGTTCTTGGAGATATTTCCAAATAACCTAAAAATAAAAATCAGTTGTTTTTTTTTCGAAGATGATTCATTGAAATTTGACGTACATTACAGAATTGTTTTAGAATAATTTTTTCTGATGTATCTTCTCCAGTCATATCTCCAATAGATTCATAAATTTCAGCAGTCTTTAAATATAAAAAAAAAGATTATTATGATTAAGAAAATTGTAAATTGTTTTACTTTAATAGCATCAAACATATTTTGCAGTGAGATTTGCCGTTGAAGTGCATCGTCTGCAGGTATATTAAGTAAAGATTCTTGTTTCTCAATAGATGTTTGTGTAGAAACATTTTGTTGAGATTTTTTCTAAAATTTTTTAAAAATATTAAAAAAAAAACAGGAACGTTTTGGTTTTTTAATTACATGTGCTAATTGAGTATTATTATTTATTGTTGTTAACATTAATTGATCAACGAGAGATTGAAGAGATTCATTTTCTTTTAATAGTGATGTTTGTCGTTGTTCGAGGTCATTTAATTTTTCTTGATAGTCAACTATGTGAGATGAAAGTTTATGTATTGTACTCGTACCATAATGTTTCCATTGTTCAGCTAATTGACGCATTTTATACCTTTCTTCATCAAGTAAATCACATAATTCTTTGAAATCATCATTAGTTGATAATAATGGAGGATATTGTTCCCCTATCATCTCTTCTTGTTCATCGGCTATTGACTATAAAAATTTGACAATGAAAGAAAAAAACAAAATCAACAAATATACAAAATACCTCTTGTGACATTTTTTTTTCAATAGCTTAATCTTATCTGAAATAATATAAGATCATCTTTTATTTTCTTTAAAAGCAATGACAAACATATACATTTATATAAATATATACATACATACATACATACATACATACATACACAAAGCAATCAGACTAAAAATAAGATAAGATGTACACATCAAAAGAGAGAAAAAAAACAAAAGGTAACATAATTTTAATTTGAACAAGTACGATGATGATGATGTTCAGGATAATATCTATGACGTTGATAAATCATTGGACTATTACTTGCACTATTTGTACTACTTGTTGATACATCGCCACCACTTGATATTTCACCTAGACTATGTCGTGGAGCATTATCAGATGGATAATTATTATAATGTGGATGATGATGATGGTGATTATGATGATGATGATGTGATTCATGATTATCAAATGTTTGACAACCATCAAGAAATTGTTGAGGAAAAACAAGTGAACACCATTTACTAGCTAATGTTGATGGATGAGGTAATTGAACACTACGTTCAAACGTACGTTTTTCAATATCAAAATAAGATGATTTAAGAATATATGATTCACTTGATGGACCTATAATAATAAAGAAAAAAAAAAGAATTTAATCGAAATGTTTTGATTAAATTAAAACTTACCATCATGTTCTTCAAGTAAATAATGTATTTTATCTCCCATTATAGATGAACTTGATATACATTGATATGAATGTGATACAGGTATAGTTGCAATTTCTGTCCATTGATTTGTTATTAAATCATACATTTCAATACAAGGTGCTAAACGATATTTATCATCTTCTCCACCAAATAAAATTAAACGTTTATTTTGATAAAATACAGTTGGATTAAATCGAACAGTTAATGGTGCTGCAGAAATTGTTACATGACCAGATTCTAAATCAACCATATAAGAATTTTCTGATAAACGATGATTAAGTCCTAGAAATATTTTTAATTAAAAAATTTTCAAAAACTACAAATCATTTAATTTAAATTTTTCTTTTTACCATCAGTATGTTTTCCACCAATAACAAAAGCAAAATTTTCAGCAACACATGCACCTGGCCATTTAAGTATTGGTAAATCTGTACATGCTAATGTTCTCCATTGATCTTTTTCAATATTATATACTTCAATTGCTGTTGAACATGGATGTGTAGCATAAAAGTTTCCTTTATCACCATAAACTCTAAAAGATATTGATGAAATAATATAAACAAAAAAAAATAAAATAAAAATTAATCATATACTTACCCACCAACAGCAACTAAACATTCATTTGAACTAAATAAACAAAAAATATATATATATCCTGTAAAATTTTAAATGTAAGATAGAAAAATTGTTCAAATTAAAAACAAAAATTCTATGTTAATTCATCTTTAGAATATTAATTTTTTTTTTACTTCATTGAATTTATATATCAATGGAACGGAACTTTCCGCTTGCGAAACTGAAAATACCTTTGACACTACTTCGATTTCCACCTCTAAATACATCCCAGATATATATACATACTTTAATAAGACAAGTTTTAAGTCAGAACTAGAGATGTGCAGGAACAAAATTTTGAAGTTTGCTGGAACAGAGATCGGGACCGGAACCAAATCTTTTTTTTTGGTCCCGTGCATCTTTGGTCGAAACATACTTCAATAACCGAAAGGATCATTATCACTCGACTAGATCTCTTTTGCTATGTATTATATTTCTTCAATGTAAATATGGCTGCAAAATGACTGTCTAATGTCAGATTGAGTAACTATTATCCGATTCAAAATAAAAGGCAGGTTACCATTTGTCGAATAACTATTGATAGGAATGAGAGAGAGAGCTGCGATTTTTACCATTCGAAAGAGCGATCTCCTGGCCAACGATTGGTATAGAACATATTAAGACGAAAGATACTTTTGTTTATAGGTACCTTTGAATCAACACTTTTTCCGTTGAGTATTTCCACCAATTTTCACAATAATCTTAACTGAAATAATGTCAAAATGTAGCTCAAATCATCCTTTTTTGTTATTAAATTAACATTTGTTTTTTTTAATCCGCTTAGAATAAGAGATTGAGAGATAATGAAATATGTGATAATCTTATAGCGAAGAAAGGGTGATTTAAGCTATATTTTGATATAATTTGAGTTGAGACTATTGTGAAAACTGATGAAAATACTCAAAGGAAAGTGTTGATTCAAAACACCTATATAAAAAGCATCTTTCGTCTTAATGAGTTCTATACCAACCGTTGGCCCGGACATCGCTCCTTCGAATGGTGAAAATCGCAGCTCTCTATCTCGTTCCTATCAGAAGTTATTCGATAAATGGCAACCTGTTTTTTATCTTAGATCGGATAATAGTTTATATCATCAAGTTAATAAATGAGAAACTTCAATTTATATTCTTTAACACTTAAATGCAGCAATAAAAATTTCCTAAAGAAAGAACTCTATTTTATGTCTTATTTTTGTTTTTCAACTTCTGTATTAACTCACCCAGCTAATGAAAAAAATTGTCTTTTTTCACAAAGTCTTGCAATTTCAGACCATAAACCTGTTCTTGGATCAAATCGATAACATGCATTTGTTGTTTCTCGATTATTTTCTGAATAACCTCCACATGCATAAAGAAAATTATTAACAACAGCAAATTTTTGTGATAATGTTCTCCATGTTGCTAATGAATTACACATATATTCCCAAACATCATCATGTTTATTTAATATATACATTGATTCATTAACACAAACAAGACTTGCTTCATTACGTATTTTACTTCGTGATGATGTCGAACAATATTGACGATTTGGTAATGAAAAATACGAATATGCTTCAAATGCATAACGTATACAATTAGGATCTGTTTTCATAAAACCATGTGACATAACTAAATCATTAAATTCTTCAGGTTTCATTGTTTGAAAACGAACATGTTCCATTAATGAACTTGCATAAATCATACGATTTTCTCCGTCAGATTTTAACCATTCAACACACATATCAAAAACTTTTATTTCGGGATAAAGACGAAATTCATTTGAACGTATTAAATAAAGTATTTGTTCATATGTTAAACGTTTAAAACCTTCATTAAGTGCAACTTTAGGAAAATTACGTAAAACAAATTTATTTATCTAAAAATTAAATAAATTTATTAAAAATTTAAATTTACAAATCAAATTAAAACAAACCTTTTCTAATACAGGAATAGAAAATAAATCAGCAAGACTAAGAACATCAATACAATTATCAACAGTTGTTTCTTCAATTAAAAAATCTTCACAAAGTTTTATTGCATGATGTACTTGTAAATGTGTTACTGCACGAAGTACTTCAGCTAAATATATAATCAAATATTTATTAATTAAATCATAATATCATTCAAATTCAATCAATAAATATCTATTCTGAAGTTTGTTGTTATACAAAACTTTGAAGTATAACATTTCAAAGACGTTATTGAAAACTATGAAGACATTCTTGAGTTAATTTATTTCTTTTACATTAGAAAATTTTCATGAGGGAACAGCAAAAACTTCGACAAACTTTATAAGATTTCTAGACTCGAACTTCTACTGTTTTTCCCTCGGAAACAATATTTTATCAGTTATTCAGCTAAATTCTTTTGTATAGATCTAGGACATATCCATTCAAATAGAGTTCAACTAGTATCATTTATATATTATCCTTATCAATTTAGACATGACTAATAGAAAGGTAATCGAGTGTATTACGAACTTTGCTTCATCATGTATAAATATTGTTGATAATGCAAAAGGTGTTCAAGTATATATGAGTTATGACTTTATGGTCGAATTGTAATGAGATCACATTGGTTCGTGGAAATATTATTATAATATGCCGTTTTTCTCTGATAAAACATGTCGAGAGTGAATTTGAATATTCTATCAAATAGTTTTATTTTCTTCTATTTATCTAGACTGTTTTATTATTTTAATTGAAATATATTTGATAAACTTTTCAATTTCTCAGAGTGATCATTCCGATCGTTAGAAACATCATCTTAAACGATCCGATTTTTTGCTAGCAAGTAGTCATCGTTTTATGAGCTTAAGAAAAATAGCGACGTAAAGATGCCGATTTTCGCCTTAGT